ACGAGTTAACAAGGTTTTCACGAGTGAACGCATGTGGCCCATCAGAATGGAACTTGTAAAACAAAGATAATGACCGTGGAAAATCATTTATGGTTCCGGTGTAGACAGGCCGCAAAATGAGAGCTCGGAATACCTTTCGGCTGCAACCGTGCAAATAATATGAAGCAACGTAGATACTACGCATTCCTGATATAGTTACAGTGCGCAGTGAACAGGCCCCAGAGAGAGACACGTTATCACGACTGACCGTGAGCGAAATCCTATGGCTCAGATATGAATTATATCGCTCCCAAAAACCAGACCCCATCGTACTCCGAAAACAAACGACATAATCGCCAATGACCTGGTGATCACGGTTATGACAACGATGCGCTCGATGATGTTAACGGCACACACTTTGCAGAAATTGTAACGTTTAAAGCAAATGTCAGTAAACAAATGTCCCAACTTAAAACCAATTGTCCTTAAGAAGACCACTGCGGCCCCGTAAAGTTGGCGTCTTTACTTTCGGGGTAAAGGGAACGATGAATGTAGGTGCACCATTATTCTCCGCAAATATGCTTCACTTAAAACCTTCACAAGACGCGCTCGCGGTAACGCATCGTCAAGACACTTAGCACATGATGCCGAAAGATGCTCCGGGGTTCGTAGCACTTGGGATGGATTACGAGCCCGCGAGGGATAGAGGTTTGAGGGGGGGGGGGGGGGGGGGGCGTAATTGGGACGATAGGTCGAGTCCAACCACACTGGTTTTCAAGCTCTATTAGATAAAGCTCTCTAAGCGCAGCGAGCTGAGAGAGAGCGAATAACTATATGTACTTGGACAGTTCAGTTGATGGGGGGGGCGTTGCTCGTCAGTTGCCGGGGGGGGGGGGGGGGATCGATCGTTTTCGGGGGGGGGGGGGGGGGGGCCGGGGGGGGGGGGGGGGGGCGAATGAAGGGACGGGTTCCACAAGATGCTGTATGGCAGAAATTTTCACGACGGGTCGGGGGGGGGGGGCTGAACTGACCACGAGAAGTCATTGTCTTGTCGATAGGGGTCCAGGGTCAAGAGAAAGGATTCCGGATTTTTTTACGGGGGGGGGGGTGGCAAGACCGATTGAAACGATGGGGCAAACATGACGTACTGGGGGCGGTACGACTGTCGATAGTAGGGGCAGGGTATGAGAACCTAGGGGCGCAACCTAATGTGTGTGAGTGGGAGGGGGTTGGGGATGGCCCGAGTCTCGTGAGAGTGAGTTGTGGAGTCACGAAGGAAAGGGGGGTGGGGGAGGGTGGGTGGAGTGGGGGGGGGGGGGGGATAGAGTGCAGGGGGGGGGGGGGGGTGGTGTTAGGTAGATGAAGGAAGGCGGAAGTGGAGGGGCGCGTTGCTGCGAGCGATGTGTAAAGACTCCCAGTAACAACAGACGATATTCGTATGAAGACATCATGGGACAGTATCTTAGGGAAGCGATGCAGTATGTACGAATATGTTGGCCAAAAGGAGGAAGATTTATGCAGTTGCCGCTGTTACACAATCGACCTGGATCCCTGCCGTCGTGAAGATCGATTGGTAGTGCAAAAGAAATTACAGAGTCAAATATTGCAGCAGTTCCACACGGGGCACCTGGATATCAGCGGCATGAAAGCCTTGGCACGTAGTTTTGCTTACTGCCCGAAATGGACCCGGAAATTGAAAAATATCGCCAACAGTGTGAGTCTTGTCAACTTGCAATGAAGGCCGCTCCCAAGTGTCAATGGCAACCTTGGCCTAAAGCAGGCAGAGCTGGGGCAATTCTTTATACACAACATCAGTCATTTTCCACGCTACTTACTATTGAGGAACAAAATATTTCAGCACTGGAAGTGTCGTCTGCAATGCCCGAACTACTGCAAAATTGCAGGGACAAGAGCAGAAACACCTTTGTTCCAAACGAAAATATTGTTCGCCCAAATAGATGAATGCATTTTTCGCAGTAGATCTGGGCGCTGCATCAGCATTCCGTGAAGTCGTTCGCAAGAATACACGGCACTCTTGTCTACAGAACTGTATCTCACCACAAGAATCGCCTTTCGATTAGAACAGTAAACAAGCATAGGTTGAGGTACTGTGGGTAGAAGTGTTTTCCCATTACCAGACCAACTCCGTCCCATAGGAAGAAGTAAGAAAAGTATTTAATTTATTTTCCGTCTCCCTGGGACTAATGCACATACTGGATGAATCATCTCCCAAATGATCCCTGTATGGCCAATGGAACAATGGTTCTGCACGGGTAAAATAGCTAATGCTTAACAGGTCCCGTAGGATGGTTATAGAGAAAATTCAAATTATAAAATATTGTTAGCAAAACAGGGTTTACGGCAAGTTATACAGACCCTTGACGTTTTTGGTTGCCCGACGTTGGGGTATCGCCAAGACGGTGAGATCTCTCCTCAGCCATGGCTCTCAAGCCTGTACTGCCTATTCCACATGCGTCCGTATGTATGAGCCGAGAAGTTGTGGAAAAGTCGAAGGGTCAAATCGTCCGACTGCATGCCTCAGGAGGCCCACTTGTTGGATGCCCCTCCTTGACACCGTTTCAGTCTGATTCGAGCATCCAAGTTCAACCTGGAAAAGCTCCCAGATCCTTCTTGCCAGAAGACGTTTGAGGCTCCTGGTTGCCGAGCTTGTAGGAATGAACGAACATGTGCCGCAGATGCAGCACTCTACATTTGTCCAAAATGAATCGAAGTACATTCTGGACAATGCAGCTTAGCGTTTAAACACTGAAAGCGATGCTTATGGTGAAATACAGTTCTGAAGACAAGTGTCGTGTATCCTTGTGAACGAATTCACGACTTGCTGATGCAGCGCCCGGATTTACTACGAAAAATGCATTCATCTAGCTAGGCGAACAATCTCTTCGTGGTATCAGCAGGTTGGTTCGGGTTTACCATCTTCCAGCAAATAGTTCAGCGGCAGTGTTTCAGGACATGGGAGGTTTTCGCCTGGCAAGCGTTTTTCCATAAAACCCCACAAATATCCGTTTAACAACACTGGGACGTGCCGGATGTGACTCGCCGCTCACTAAACTCACTGCTTCTTACATATCTGGATAATCTAAGCCAATCCACGGACCTGGGTCTTCCAATACGAAGAGTTCATTTCTCTTCTTCCTACGCCTGACGGATATCAATCACAAATACAGCGTGAAATTCCCAAATTCAAGCAACACAACAACGCTCGTTCTTACCTACATGCCTTAATGCACACTTAACACGGATCCATATGTTACTTATAAACTTGTGTCATTTTTTACATTAACCAGTACTTGTTGTGTCGCCATGATCATGCTAATGCAGGCATATCTCGCATTGTCGAGAATAAAACATTTCTTCCTTTCTTTATTTTAGTATTGCTCGCTAACTGTGGTTGCAGATAATATCATGTCAAGCAGCACATCAACTGTTAACCGGAAACAGATGTACCGACATTTTACTTCGGATCATGTACTCATGAAACCATGGATTACAACATGGCGCAATCAAGCCGTACGTTGACTATTGCCAACGTAGTAATAACCTTGATTTTTTCGCAAACCAGCGCCATAATGTTCCTGGATTCCACTATTATGTGACGAACTTTTCAAGTGTATAAACTAGGAAAGTCTCGGTTTTACTTTATTTTAACAACACATTTTACTGTTCCAACGCAGCTATGCTTGTAGGTATATTTGATCATGCTTTCACTTGTGTACCTCCTTCTATTGAGAACATACTATTTATTTATTTACATATAACTTCAGTAGCGCAGCCATTGCACTGACTAATAACGTAAGTCCTTCTTGTTAGTGCATTGAAGCAATAAATATAGATAGTTATTTTTTTAAAATTTTTGTACGGTCAGCATATGCGGAAACAAACGGTGGTAGGTTAAGTGTCCCGATTTGGCGCGCAAGAAATCTGGAAGCGCCTAGCTTTGGCTCACCAATAATCTGGCCACCTTACATGCATTGTAACTAACACATGCGTCGCCACCGCTGAATCTCACAGTAGAGCATTATACTTAGACGTCGGCGTGACTTGCGCCTCAGGTGTTCTAGCAACGTTGTGTGCAGTTTGCTCACAGTATCTCCTATACACACATATTCACAGTTATTTTGAATACATTTGTGAACGCAGTTAGTCATCTTACCTACGAAAAGTGTCATTCAGATACACCATTGTTGAACAGATACGGAATCTTATTACTTGGTTAGTGCCGTCGGAAAGGACAAGAAACTTCCCTCTACCTATAATATTCTTATCGTCCCAATCCATTGCGCCGTATATTTTCAACGTGGTTTTAGCATATTGTGAGACGTGTGTTTCATTACCGATTTCGGGTGTCCGCTATTCAACAGTTACATTGTTGTCTACTTGCAAGCGGCGTTCCAGACTTCCTTCTCTGTGCACATGGCCTTATCTGTGAAACAAAGAGATCGGAATTGTAGTGCAGTGTCCCATCTGTATCCGTCGGTTGACGAAATATCAGTTTGGAAGCTAATCATTCTTGCAAACAAAGCAGTCAAGGAATGGCGATGTGCAACCCCATGGTGAGCGATTGCAGATTCTTCAAAAACTAGCTTTTCTTATCCACTTTTATGTTAAAAATGTACCATCAACTTGATACCAACAACTTTTGACCATTTACTGGAGTTTGCCAGTATTATGTACAAAATAGTGGACATTGACGATCTAATGATAACACCATATTCTTGAGTGCCTACTTCCGACTGAAACCCGAGCTAAAACAATATGCGGTGCAATGTCGGTTGTTTCAACCATCTTAAGCTTCGGCCATTCCCTAGATTATTCCCTTCGGTCAAACAGCGTTTCACCATACCCAGTGCGTCGCATTTGGCACCTTGGCTAGGAGTACGCTAAATTTACTGTAGATCATCGCTTCATCTTCGTTTCACACGAACTCAAGATACTTCTTTACAAACGTATTCGTTCACCATGCAAACGGCCACATTATACTAACGACTGCATATAGACCAGTAAATGCAAGCTGTTGCCAACCCGGTAACGTTATCACAATTTACGCGGTACACTTCCGCAAAGCTCACTGCAGTACATCATGCATTGCTGTGCAGATGCTGATGCTAACTTCATCGTTAAGGCCGATCAACTGCAGTTAATGGGTAATTCAGCCACACCCACCGATTACTAACGCATTGTTCCATGACAGCGCGTAGTGAAGCACCGCACGCATTATTTCACTTAGGCAAGCTTCTGCAATCAGCTAACTGAATTTTCTGGCGAACTCGATCCTGGTGACTTCCGGGGGTTCTTCTTCGAGGAACGACCAACTTTTGGCGCTGACGAGCTGGGCTAATAGATGGTAGTTTTTAATGTTTCGCGCAGTCTCATTGTTCTCATTCATATATTCTTCATAGCAAACGAAGTTGAAACTGATCACTGCGTGATCAATGCGAACCAACGGGCAGTCTAAAACCAACAAATCACTCATGTGCTCCTCTTTGGTAAGCACAAGATCCAGCACAGATTGCCTGTTACCCGCTCTGAACCCGGTGGGCAAAGTGACGTGATTGTAAAGTGGCACAGTAGTTACTGGATCTTGTACATCGGGTTTGAATTGTTATCCGATCGTGGCGGGAGTTTCTAAACAATGTACGATGAATTCACCCATGAGAAGAGTGGGAGTGTACTTTTGTTGTAAACTACATCTTAAAGCAGCCGCTAGGTGGTAGTCGGTTTCGGGTGTTGTTATGGGCGCGATACACCAGGACAATAAGGCAAGCGTCCCTGCCTCTTATCTGCAACCGGCACCAAAGAGAGTCTGGGAACTGCGAGTCTGAATCCGCCACGGCTTCGCACTGTAAGTCGTTTCGGTAATACAGGATTACCCATCCTCCATTTGTGAGCCTGTCATTCCGGATCAGCGACAAGCCCGGTAGCGACACTTCAGCGTCTGTCTTTCATGTGTTCAACCACGTCTCGGAGATACCAATGATATCATATGACCTGAAAGCTTAGTAAGCTTTC